GTTAATTGTACTGATTTCTAAAGCAACTTTATGGATAAAGTAACAAAAATAAAAATCAGTAGGATCTTCCACTTGGACATATATTTGTATTCTTCCTTGACGTTATGTGTTTATGATCCCTAGCTCTTGCTTACTCAAAATAGTTTCCTTTAGTTTTCCTTTTCAACCTGGCACATGTGGCTTTTCACATCAATGTATCCTATTTCTACTGGTGATGCCTACAGCCTGTTTTAATGGAGGATTACTTCATTGTTAGCCATAAAGCCAAATCAGACAGCATCTACTGAATTCGTTCACTATTAAAGCAGATGGTAAATGTCCTCTCGATATATATATAATTCTATAGAGTTTAAACGTAAAACTAGAGTCTACCATAACAGCTATTACTCCTACTTACAAACCTTGCCACTTGTGTCCTCCTCAAGAGCCCTCTCCAAATTTAGTATGCTTTTTCCAGCACTCATCTCAGCAAGCACTGGTCTTAGAATGAAGGCCTGGTACCTTTGGCTTACATTCATTAGAGTGATATTTGAATTTGAAATCCCATCTACTACATACTACCTATGGGACTTTGAATGATATCATTCAAATGATATCATTTCCGTTTTTAGCCTTTGTTGCATGGGATTGCAGAACTAACTGGAAAGAAATGCAGCTACAATCCATGCAGTAAACACTCAGTAATGTGGATACAATTGCTATGATGGTTGTTTTTATTGACATCATTTAGTAAAAGGATAAAAACATAATTTACCTTTCAATGTGATTGCCATTAAAAATTCTGCATAAATATCTTTAGAAAACACATGTGTAGAATTTCAGTTAACATTCAAAAATATTTCTATCAATCACAATTATCTTTTCCATCATTTGTACACATTGAAACATACAAGTTTTTGAACCTGATGGCTGATCCAAAATTTTTCTTGAAACTCCTATTACCTAGAATTTGAGAGCCTACAATAGTTTAGCATGAACTAACATACTAGAAAATTACTATAAATGTCCCTATGAAGTACCAGAAACTACTGGATCTATGGACAGGTCTAGGAAAGAAGAATTCAGAACTATGAATTTCTGCAAATTATGTTTGCTTTTGTGAATAGGTGCTGTTTAACAGCTTCAAGTGCTCATAATCATTCATACCAGCAAAAGAAATTTATATCAATTAAAGAAACTGAAATATTAAATGAAAATCCCAAGGTTATCATTAAACAATAACCTATCAATTCTTTTCACATGAATTATAAGCAGTTATGTGTTTCAGTATATAACAATGTAGTATTTTCAAAGCCTTTTCTTACATAGATTCTTTCCACTAGTCTACATAAAAAAAAGTCAAATTTCTTTACCTTTATTATAATTTCTCTTATGTGAATCTATTCCTGAGTGGTATAATGTAGGATTAAAAATCAAATGTAATAATTAAAAATTACAAATAAAATAAGATCTATGGAGATGTATCCTAGTTACTCAAACTTTCTATTAGAGTAGAGGTATAAAAGTCAAACTCATCTGTATTCCTTGAAAATATGCATCTATTGATCTAGACATATATTGTATAGAATTAGAAAATCAGTGTTAGCTAACACATTCTATCATTCCCAGCTTTCTCCAATTAAACAACTTTATGCTGGATACAAAGAATCACTGACAAATTCTATTGCTAATATAGCTCCCTGAACTAGGATGACTTGATGGAAAAATATATGTAAACTAATAAATTTAGTCTTACTAATTATATAGGATAACAAGTAACTGATATTGTGTCTACATTTATGGGTGCTGTCTGAAAGCAAGTTTCACTATATTGAGACAAACCACAGATGATAGAACATGCCAAAGCTCATACAACTAGTCAACAGGAGGAACTGAAAAGGTAAATACTTTTGTAAGTTTTTTAAAAACTTCTCCTGGATTTAATTACTTTTACTTAACTATCTACCATCAGTAAAATAATATTAAAAGACCAAAACTGACTAGAATTAATTAAAACTTATGATAGAACATGAGAGAGAGAGAGACAGAGACAGAGAGAGAGAGAGAGAGAGAGAGAGAGAGAGAGAGAGTTTAATAGAAACCACAGAAAAGGGCATCTCTAATGACTAAAGAAGGCCAGAGATGTATTAAGTATGAGAAAGAAAGAACTGGGCAAGAAAGAGTATAAGGAAGAGGGGAAGGGAGAGAGAGGGAGGGAGAAAAGGAATAAAGAGAAGGAGAGGTACAAAGAGAGAGGAGAGGGAGGAAGAGAGGGAAGAAGAGAGGTGAGAGAGGGGGGAGGAAGAGAAGGAGGGAGGGAGGGAGGGAGAGAGGGAGGGAAGAAGGGTGGGCAGGAGTTAGGGGAGGGAGGGAGGAATATAAATGCAATGGCCAGTTTGGTTTGGCCATTTAGAGGCTCTTATGCATCTTTTTTTGGAATCTGAATTCCAAAAATGAAGGTACAGAGAAAACAAATTTCTGATCATTTATAAAAGCCCTGAAGTAGAAATAGGTAAATCTCAAGAAACTTACCATTGACAGCAAGATAATGGGCACCAAGAATTTCAAAATTAAAAATCCCAATATTTTCTTTCATTACATCAAAATTTTTCTTTTAAAAATAAGTCAAAAGCAATCGCAACGAGATTTAGTATACTCAACTGTAAATTGTGTGTATATTTTTCCTGAAGTGCATATTCATGAGCTGACAATAAAGACAGGCAGGCTGCTTTGTTTGACTATAGTTCTGTTTACTTCATACTGTCAAAAGTCGATTTTGACACTCAGTATTAATATTGCTATTTTTATTGATATAATTAGCACTGCTAAAAATAATTCCTTGGCCTGCAATATCTAAGTATATCATTATAATCAGCAATATTAAGACATCTTTTCCTTAGATTATGCTTCCAAAATAGACTGCTGACCCAAAGAACCAAGGTGACCTCAAGATGTAGAAATAACTGGGAAAAAAATAATAATGTTGCCCTGTCAATAGAGACTGTTTTGTGTATGACTTCACTAAACAAACTAGTTTATATTTGTTTGAAACTGAAGTTTCTCACCAATCTGCTGTTTCAATTTCACATCACACCATATTGTACCTAAAACAGGCAATCTGGATTCCTATTGCTACTTTTTTTTTTCTTCCAAACAGCTCAGGAATTTGCTTAAATATAAAGCTTGAATCTATAAAGCAAAAAAAAAAAAATTAAGACACCAAAATTGAGACTGGGAGGGTGAAAATAAGCATGTTTGAAATCATCTGTATAATTGCTAGCGGGTGGCCAACCCACTTGTGAGTTTTTGATCATTACATGAAAGCAAAATCAAAACATATTTTATCTTGCCTCTAGATCTCATCAGCTGTGACAATAACCTTATCTGGCCTTGAATGGTTTGTTCATAAAACAAAGTGGGGTGACTGACCCAGTACACACTCAACACAGAGTATGAAGGCCAAAACAAAGTGACAATACAATTCAAAACAAGTTTGTAGGGATTTTAGACTAGTATATTAAAACCTTTCTTTGTCTCTATCACTTGACAGATGGTTAGCCCTCACACAGCCTAGTATCTCTGGCAAAGAAATGACTATGTCTAGCCAATAACACCCCAAATTTTTACTTAAAATGCACTGTACACACACTTAGACTTACCTTACAAATACAAATTCTAATACAATTAGTCATGTTTATTTTATTATCATAAAAACATGACACATGTCAAGATTTTTTCTTTTGTACTAAGCACATCTCACTTTAGAACTCAATCATCTTATGCAGACTCCAGCTCCCTAAGCTTTCCATTTTAGTTTTCATTCATTTTATGCACTGCTTGGTAATCATGCTTTTAAAACTTCCAAAATAACATCTTAGCCCAAAGTATTATAAAATTTACAGAGATTTAATTAGCTTGTGTTTCTATGTTGCTCACAAGAAAGTTCTGGTAATCAACAAACTGTGTCAAACAAAATCACTTGGTAACATCGAAAACATTCCATGTCAAGAACCACAGGGCAAGACATGGTTTATCCAGCACTAAAGTATGCTTTTAACTGTTTATCTGTAAACACATACTCCACAAAGATGCACACATACTGATCAACCATTCTTACTAGAAATAGGAAAACAGTCTTTAACATTCTTTTAACCATCCTTTTACAAGAAAAGTCAGTTGAAACTATTCTATTAGTCAAAAAAACAAAAAACAAAAAAACAAAAAAAAAAAAAACTCTGTATTTCCCTCAGTTCCCCCTATGTAAGCCAGGCATATACAAGGATCTTCACACACAGTATCAACCAGAAGCAATCACCAGATGCTCTAAATGCAATATGCCCCCTTTTTTGGAAAAAGGTTGCTTATTATATATATTTGCTTAGAAATTTAAGGCAGGCCTGAAGATCTAAACCTTTAACAGGACAGAGTGAGGTGGGCTCTGTACAATAAAAGCTATCTCCCATGAGAAGTAAATTTATATATCATTAACAAAGCCAGACTCAAAAGTTATAGAAAGATAAAACTCTCACTACTTAAAGCCATACACTTAGAGGTCAATCACATGTACATTTAACCAGGCACCAAGTTAGTTACTTTCTTTTAGAACCTAGAGTTTTTTTCTTACAGACAAAATGACTAATCTATAGTTCTTGCATTATAAATCAGAGAAGTTTATTAAATGAGAGAAGTGTCAGTCATATGATTTTCGAGTTTAGAAAGAAAATGTTAAAAAGAAAAAACAGGGCTTTGCTTTCTTCTGTTTTTTTTTTTTTTTTTTTTTTTTTTCAGGCTTCTCTAAAAAAGAATTTCCTCTTTAATGTAACCTATAACTTAGTTATAATTTTCATCTTCCCTTGCTAACACTACAACCACAAAAGACTAAGATACTTGATTTTTCAGGTACATACCTAAAACAAATCCTAAGCAAAAGTTAAATATATATCTTAGGATTTGTTTTATCACAGTTTGCTATCAAGACCATATGACATAGGAATTTTACAGTAAATGTGAAGACACAAGAATTTACTACAAAGCAACATTTTATTTATTCCAAAGACATGACCAAAATTGTGAATTAAAAAAAACTCAAAGATTTACTGAAATTTTATGAAAACATTTCACAATAACAAAGGATACAAATAATTTAAATAAACTGAGTTCTTCCTCTATTTATTTGGCAATCATAAACATGTTCTACACCTTCAAACTTAGTAAGCTCCTTAAAACAGGAGTTTGTAAAACACAAAAGCAACTAGATTTTTGAAGTGTAATTTTTAAAGAAAAATCTCTTAGCAATGTGGAGTGTACAAACTGTATGTAAGCTCCACAGACACCAACAATTTCCCCTTTGCTTCATTGTTTCATCCCAAGTATCCAGAACTGTCTTCCACAAGCTGATGATGTCTCCATCCGTGTAAGAAAAACATAATTATTTCAGAAAATAACACCACTTCCATATCCCAAATGTTTTAAAGCAGTTTCTCCTTACTACTTCTCCTGATGAGATCTGAAATAATTTAAAATTCATTTATGTTATAAATCATTTACAAGAATTTAGTTGTAGCTTTCATTGCTCTTCTAAAATGGCCTCATTATTCAGTCTAGGAAGTTCAATTTGTCTAGAAAGCCTTCTGAAATTTTGCACAAACAACACAAAAATAATTAACAGAAAATGGCTTTTCTCTTGTATTTGCTTCCTATATCAATGAGTCTGATTCCTATAGGCAAACAGGAGTGGGCTATGTCTCAAAACTTTTCCTAAACAGGAAAAAGGCAGACATCAGTACTAACAGACCTACAGCCCATTACAGCCCTCAGGGAAAAAGTTCTCTTTTCCTCCACCAGTTCATCAGTGACAACTGTCTATCATTATCTAGTCAATAAATACAAGATCTATATCTGTATTTTCTTGGTATAGTGATAGTCCCAAAATGTGGGCCTAAACAGATAAATATAAAGACAGCTTCCTGGAAGAGGATAAATTTAATAATTTTTAAGCTTCTTTCTCTAGCCTAATGACATTAGAAGTTCATTGGGAAAGGAAGGGCATTATTGCTTTGGAGTCTGGTAGGCAGTATACTTGTCACCTGATCTTCACATCCTGAAAGACTTGTATTTCACTCCTCTTAAGACCTGAAATCAAAGCCAAAACTACCCCATTGCCTCATTCACTGAGCAGCTCAGACACTTCCAGAAAACTCCATTTTCTACTCTTCAAATTTCCGCACCATTAATTCTCAAACTTAAAGTTCTGCAAATGGAGGACAACTCCAATCCTGGAATTTTTACACTAGAGCACAGACCAGACCCACCAGTGACTCTGTCAACAATTCTAAACCTTTCAGGAGAAGATTCAAGAAACAATGGCACTCTTGAGTATCACTCGGATGAGTTATTAATAATTCCATGGAGCAAGGGGTATGAGAACCAGAGACTTATTCGTTGGTTTTGTCTCTTTCTCCTCTTCCTACATGTAGTCATTCCTAACTGAAAAGCAAAATTACAGAATACAGTCAAACCTTGACTTGTCACACCCATTTGTGGATAGGCACAGAGGGAGGGGGTCTAGTCTCACAACATGCGAAAAGGTCCTTGAGGCAGCAGCTGAACCAGGAATCAAGGTAAACTATCTGTGAATTCAGAGCTCACATTATTTTCCACAAAAGGACACTTGTATAGTTTAGGTTTTTCAAAGTCAACAAGTTGCAGCAGTAACTCAGAACACTGTTCACTTGAAAACTGTATACACTGAAATTTTTATCAGCAGAAACTGCAACGTGGCCACAGAGTGAGAATATTCCACTAGTCACATTTTGATATTTTTAGTGGTTAGGAAATAGTAAAGGCAATTTTCACTGTCTACAAAGGTAACATGTTCAACTTAAGTCTGGGCCAATGATTCTGAGGACAGCATTACATACCCACAGTCGTCCAAATTTCTTCCTATCCTGTTCAGAATTCAGCTAGGGAGCTGTCTTGCCTCTTCTGACCTCATTTGACCCGGTTCAGAGTAAGAGATCATCAGATTACCGAGCTAGGTAGCGTAACTGTACGCCATATTGTGTTTTTCGCTAATGTTTATAGTCTGTGTGTGCGCCTAACATATGCTTGTGCAAGTGTGTTTATCAATATAACTTTTACGAAATCCCTGCCTCCTGCCTCTTCTGCATCCTTAGGAAGGGGAGGGGCTGAAAGGGACCCTGAGAGCCACACTTAGAGAAATGCATTAAAACAATTAGAGGACCAAGTTTGAACTTCAGAACCACCCCCCAATTTTAGGGGGGTGGGGTGTTTTTTTTTGTTGTTGTTGTTATTTTTTGTTTGTTTTAGTTTTGTGTCTCAGGTATGAAAGAATATTAACAGTTTTTCAAAACGTTCCCCAAGTGGCCCAAAGGCAAAGACAGGGTTCGTCCCTTGCCAAGCCCCCCCCCCCCATCCCCCAGTCTACCCGTGCAAGCAGAGCAGGCGGGGCCACCCGTCCCGCCCCTGGTTCACTGGAGCCGGTTCTCCGCGCGGGCGGAAAGCGAACGGGAGGGAGGAGGGAGGGAGGAGGGAGAAGAGAGGGGCGGGAGCCGGCGCCGCCGCCAGCTCCGGAGCCCCGGCCAGTGCCCCTCAGCTCCTCTAGTGGGAAGCCGCCGCTCCAGGCGCGGGGAGGAGAGACAAGACTCGGAGGCAGCGGCGGGACGCCCCGCCCGGGCTGGCCGCGGACCCTCCCCGCAGGGTCGCGCGAGGCCGCGGGGAGGACGAGGAGGGGCGGCGGGAGGGCTCACGGGGCGGGGCACGAGCCCGGGGCTGCGGCTCGGAACTCGCGCCGCGGCCCCACCCCGCCCCCTCCTCCGCGGCCGCCACCCCCGACTCCCGGCGACTCGCAGACGCCCGGGCGCGCTCGGCAGGCACACACCCCTCCCTCCCGCCCGCCCCACAACAAATTAGAGTTTTTGGCGTTACCTCCTCGCGCTCTTTAATCTTCTTTCCTCAACTCCTAAACTTCCCCCCGCCCCTACTTCTTCGGCACAAGGCCCACATTGGGCGCCTGAAGCCGCGAACCTCCAGCTTGGCCCGCTATTGGGTGGGCCTCATGCCACTCTGGGCTTCAGTTGTCCAATAACGATTGGACGGCCCTCGTGAGGTTGCCGCCCATAAACAAAATGCACTCTTCCTCCTCCCCTCCGTGGCCCCGCCCCTAACTGCCCTTTCCCTCATCTCTGTCATTTTTTATTGGCCTAGGAGACACCCAATCCGCTATCTCAAACGCCGGTTGGTGGGCGGAAGCTTCATTCAGAAAAGTTGCAACAGCCTATTGGTCGTGGGTCTCAACCCTCGCCGCCCACCAGCGCCCTGTGGAGAGAGGCCAGCCGTCTCTCCTTGTTCAGTGATCCAAGAGCTGGGCAGCTATTGGTCGACAGAGGCCGTCAGACCGGACTGTAGTGATCGGTGATTGGTCGAGACAGACACGATCAAGTTTGGTTGTTTACTCCTCCGGTTACCCCCCCCTCCTCCTCTTCTTCCACGTCCCCGCCCCCCTCCCGACTGCTTTTACTTTCTACGCATTTCTATTTCCTCCTTTATTTATTTATTTGCGATAAACTTAAATGACCCGAGGATAGAGGCGGGACTCCGAGAGTGGCTAGAGGATGACGGGCGGCGGCCTGGGGCCAATTGTCGCGGGGGCTGCGGGGTGAGGGGCAGCGGCGGCGGCCAGTGAGAAGCAGGTGTCTGCCGCGCGCCGCCTATGGAGCCGGGATGCCCCAGCGGAGGCGGCGGTTACCCGCTGTCTGGCGCGCCAGAGCGGGAGGGCCGGGAGGGGGGCGATACAGTGCAGGGAGGAGGGCTGTCGCGGTCGCTGGCCCTGGCTGTCCTGGCCAGCAGGAGGATCCCAGCGGTGGGAGGGACCGCCGCGCGGGAGGCGACCAGGGCGCCAAAGGCCAGGGCGGTGCTAGGACTCCGGGATCGGATTGTGTTCCTACAGAAAAATACCGTGTAAAACAGTCTGCAGAGAGCCGCCTTTAATATCAATGAGGATTTATTATCCTACCGGAAAAAGCAGATTATGTTCCTTATTACTAAACGCCTGAAGTACTGACGACCCAACTGGAGCCCACAAAATTCAATATCCTGGGAGCTAGAAGGAATAAAGCAACACGGAAAATTAAATGCAGTTCAGATGCTTCAATAAAACCTTCATCTTCATCCATTTGTCACTCAGCATACTACTCCCCAGAGCCAAATTCTAACAAATGCTGGTCAGGCGAAGGCGGGCTGGAGGAGGAAGGGGGGGGGGGTGAGGCCAAGGCCCAAGGCCAGCAGGAAGCCAAGGATAGATTCCTGAAAAGAATTCCTTAAAAGGACTGAGATGAAAAAAAAAAAAGAATAGCTTTTCACTCTACAAAGAAAAAGAATTCCTGCCAAAATAAGAAGTAGTACTTTTTAGGGAGCTTAATTTGTCACGAAAGGGATTTGTCAGAAACAGGAGGCATACAAAGAAACTGTAATATTAGTTATTAGTAACTGAAGTAAGTTTAGTCCAGAATTAACCTAGGTAGGCTTGACACATACGGAATACTTTCAGCACCAAATGCTTTACTAAGTAGAAGTCTGGCAAACCATAAGCAAAATTAGCCATGATAAGAAAAAAGAACAAGGCGTTAACTTCATTAATGCATTTAGGTTCGTCCTGAAGCTTATGGATGTGGCCTTCAGAATTCAGAAATGCTTAAAAGATAAGTTAATGATGTCAACTGTAAAAACTGCTACTGAGTGTAGAAACCACAAAGTTTTTAAGTTTGTGCATGAACCTTAAAAGTTGTAAGTAAATAGTCTGTGCAGAACAATCAACTTTACATAAGAAAATGAAGTAAAACCAACCATTCTCTGTGATGTCTACTCTTAATGTCAATTAGAGATGGGTTTTAGAGCCATTAGGGAATTTACAAGCCTGTATGTGATACACATCACTTAACATTTGTAGCCATATGAGAATCAGCACTGCTTTTCTATACGTGAGCTCATTAATTAAAAAAAAAAAGCACATTAACAGCTATGAAAAAACATGGAAATAAAAATCTTCCTTTCCTAAGGGCATAAAATTGAACTAGACAGCAAAATTTGTCAGGACATATGCAAAACATTAAGGTTAGATGATTCATATTCAAAGCAACTTGAGGACACTTGTAAACACACATGCATCCCAAATGTGCAATAAGTTTTGCTGCCCCTGGAAACTTTATATAAAATTTGCCTCGAACCACCAAACCTACAATGCAGTAGAAATCTGAAGCCCTTCATATTTCTTCCCTGGAGTTTCAGAAACTTCTTACCCTGCTTTGCTCTGGACCCAGACTCTCCTTCCCATACCCATTCTTTTTTCTACTCAAAGCTTTGTTATAAAGGGAAGTCATACCAAAACCATAAGCAGTTTCTAAAAAAACTTCACATAATTGGGATATAATGGACACAGGTACATGATGCCAGGAAAAGAGGAAGAAGGGATATGTATGTATGTATGTATGTATGTATATTTATGGTGTGTTGTACTAGTTACATGTAATAAAAAAAAGGTGAGGAAAAGACTTCTGCATAAGCAGCAATTTGACAAGATTGTAGATTACCACCAGAGATCATGAGGGAGGGGACTATTGGATGAACTGTATTAGAGAAATAAGAACTGATCTCTGAACACTACTCAATATTAAGTTTTGGTATTTATGGATAGGATGTGAGGAAATATAATTGATAGTTTTATTTGAAATGCACAAGTATGTGTGGGTAGGAGGATCAGTACTCACACAGGAAAACCAAAAATAATAAATACATTTCCAGCATGATGGAAGGCTTGGGGATCCACTTGAATCCACAGACACAGTTATCCTAAAACTAGATCTATCTCTGTGATGTCAATTTAAAGGGTTAGAAGCATGTAGGTGAGGCAAACCAGAGTGGCCATGGCAAGAAAGGGTTAGTTGAAAAGAAAGAACAATGGTGTAGATGGCACCATTCCATTGCTTAGGGTCTAAAAAACAGTAAAATGCAAAGTAGGAGAAAGTAGAGAGCCTGCATGCTCTCTTTATATCCCTGCTCAGCTAAGATGTGGGTGGACCATCCTCCTCTGCCACATCCTGCAACTGACACAATATTTGGCCAGTGTAAATAGTCCTAATGACCATGGACTCAAACCTCTAAAATAATGAGTCCAAATAAAATCTTCCTCTTGTAAGTTGTTCTGTCAACCATGTGGCCAACTGCCACAAATATAACAGTACAATTTTCATGAATCCTAATATTCCATGAGCAGACTCTTTCTTTTAACTGATCAAGGTACTCTTACTTAGATTCGTACAATTCATCGCTTGTCTTAGTTGATGTTCATGGACAATTTTACAGTTTCATTAAGATAGACTGTTTCATTATTATCATGTGAAATATTTAAAGTTGGGCTCACCTTAAGTTCACGGTAGTCTTGACTGAATTCAATCCTTAACCATTTTAGTACTGAAAGCCAACAAATTCAAGTTCCTCCATATAAGAACAGAAAAAACAAAACAAACAAAGAAACAAAAAAAAAAAAAAAAAAAAAAAAAAAAAAAAAACAAAAAAAACCAACAGAAAACCAAAGGGCAGACCTAAGGCCTAGTCCCGAAGTTCTACCTCCTGATTAACTATGAACTATGAGCAACCTGGTATACTTGAATATTTTCATACTAGATGAGTCCTTGCTGCTGCTTCTGCTGCTGCTGCTGCTGCTTCTGCTGCTGCTGCTGCTGCTACTGCTGATTCTTCCTCTTCTCCTCCTCCTACTCCTTCTCCTTCTTCTTGTTTGTTCCATTTAGCCCTCAAATTCACAGGCAATATAAATATATATTTACTGGGAATGCAGAAAATGTTTTAAAATGTCACTTTATTAAATTGCTATTATTTATATATAAAATGATTTAAATGTAATTTTATATGCTTTAAATCATAAAACACTAAAAATGTGTTTTTCTGTTGTACCCCAGCAACAATAGAAGCTTGAATTATGTGTATATATGTGTGTGTGTGGGGGGGGGTGTGTGACAAGAGTTTACTGAAAAGCTAATATTTCTGAATATTTGATATATTAGAACAAATTAGTTTGTCTGACCTTGATGAACATGTAGCCTGCTGTAAGAAAAAAAAAATGTAATAATCCCATTCCCATTCAATCTTTGTTGAGTATACAGTGGCTACATATCCAATTAGTTTTTACAATTATTTTGTAAGCTAGATACAGGTTAAAATCATGACAAATTCATGGACTGTCAAAATAAATTTTAGTTATTGTCATGTACATTATAGAAGAGGCATCCTTTATTATATGATAGAATAAGCTTACTACATCTTCCCCACTGTCTAGAGGGAATATCCCCTCTATAGATGCTCTCCTTCTCCATCTCTATTTTAATTGGCATATTTATGGTCGGCTCATATGATTACCATCATAAAGTGTTCTGCTCATTTTTCAGGGTGTAGGGGTTCTAGTGACAAAGAAAGTATAGAGAGATAAAAACTCTTAGAAGAGTGTTATGATTTGAATCTTAAATATCCAACAATAGGCTCACTTTTTAAATGTTCACTCTCTAGGTTATGATACCATTTTAAAGGCTGTAGAGCATTGGGAAGTGAGGCCCTGGTGGTGGAAGGAGGTCATCAGGGACAAGCCTCTGGAGATTACACCTACCCCTGATACCAACCCAACCAATTCTGAATCTTGGTCAGCCATGATGTGAAGAGCCATTGCATCATAGCTTCACTGCTGCTGACAACTACTCCCACAATCATTCTGTTCTCCATATGACAGATTGAAATCTCTCTGAAACCATAAGCTAAAATAAACCCATCCTTCCTACAGTCATTCCTGACAGCAATTTTTGTCACAACAAACAAAAGTAACTAGCACAAAGGTATCAAGACTCCTCTAGCAATGAGTTTGTGGAAGAAAAGTCTAAAGTAGTATCTTCCTATAAAGAAAAATCTTCTTCTTTATAGAAGAGGGGCTGATGAGGTGGCTCAGTAGGTAAAGTTACAGACCACCAAGGCCTGACAATCTGAGTTCAGTTCTTGCAGCTCACAATGTAGAGAACCAGTTCCCACAAGTTGTTTGTCTTCTGACATCCACAAGCACCATG